GGGTTTCACCATGTTGACCAGGATGGTCTCGATCTCTTGACCTCGTGATCCACCCGCCTCGGCCTCCCAAAGTGCTGGGATTACAGGCTTGAGCCACCGCGCCCGGCCCTCTTGATGCTTTTCTACGAGGCTAGGCAATGGGCCTTCCACTGCACGTCTCTGACAGAGGAGCCATGTCATCCTTGGAGGGATCCGAGTCTTAGACCAAGTGCCGGGCTCTGCTGCCTCCTTTCTCAGCCTCCTTAACTCAGGCTGACTCCTCAGCTCTTGTTCAGACCGGCTGCTAAGTCTTTCCTTTGGGTCTTGTAACTCACGATGGGCTGTGCTTTAAGCTAATCTTTTGTTAGTGACGTTAACTTTTATCCTAGGGAGTGGAAAAGGTGTTCACATCAAGGTATTAATGACAGGCGGGGTGTGGCGGCTTATGCCTGTAATCCCAGTGCTTTGGACAGCCAAGGAGGGAGGATTGCTTGAACCTAGGAGTTCAAGACCAGCCTGGGCAACATAGCAAAACCCCCATGCCTACAAAAAAATAAACCAAAAATAAATTAGCTGGGCGTGGTGGCATGTGCCTGTAGTCTTAGCTTCTCGGGAGGCTGGGTCCAGAGGGTTGCTTGAGCCCAGAAGCTCAGGGCTACAGTGGGCTATAATCACACCACTGCATTCCAGCCTGGGTGACAGCAATACTGTCTCTATTTTTATTTATTTATTTTGAGACAGAGTCTAGCTCTGTTTCCCAGGCCGGAGTGCAGTGGCACCATCATGGCTCACTGCAACCTCCGCCTCGTGGGTTCAAGCGATTCTCCTGCTTCAGCCTCTCGAGTAGCTGGGATTACAGGTGTGTACAATGCCTAGCTAATTTTTGTATTTTTAGTAGAGACGGGGTTTCACCATGTTGGCTAGGCTGCTTTTGAACTGACACGTGATCTGCCTGCCTTGGCCTCCCAAAGTGCTGGGATTATAGACATGAGCAACCACACCCAGCCTTTGTCTCTATTTTTTTTAAAAAGGTATTCATGAAAACCAAGGGGAGAGGTAACGTCACAGTGATATTGTCTGGGTCTGTCTCAGATTGTTGAGCTGGACCATTGCAGATGGGAGCAAAAGATGGAGGTGTGGGGCCAAGGGGCAGAGGCTGCTGGGGACAGGACAGTGTGTGGCTGAGGCTGCTGTTTGTTCCTTCATCACCCTGGCCAGGCTGAGGTCCAGGCAGTGTTCTCTGACGGAGCTGTCTCTCTGCACACGAGGAGCCTGAAATACGGAAAAGTAAGCCAGGCTTTTGATGTTCCTGTTTGCTGACCAAGACTCCAAGGCTATTTCTGAATCCCCATAGCTCTGTGGAATTCTGGCCTAAAGAGACCCAGTAGCTAAGCGTTAATAGAGGCTGGCATCCCACAAACTGATCATGTTCCTTGAATGTAACAGCAGGGAGGTCAGGGTTCACAGGGTGATGGGTCAGTAGCCTTGTAAAGGACAAGTTTTATCCTTTTTCTCCAAGTAGACTGACTCTTCTAGCAGAAGAGCCCCTCCAGCTGTGGGCTGGGAGGCGCAGCTGTCTGTCTTCCTCCAGGGGGCGCTGCAGTTCAGCACTGGGGCTGGGGCTGAGGCCCTCCTGGGAACAAAGGGAGGCTGGGCCTGGTGAAACAGCCCTTAGACAAACGTCCAATGGGTACAGTGGATGTTACTGCTGGCAAAGCTTGCTCTGTCATCTGAGCCTCTAGATGGAATTTCACTGCTTTTCTTATACGAGGTTGCATTATTGAAGCTATTTATTATTGTAAGGAGAGCATACTTCCTAAAACAAATGAGGATTTACTAGTCTCTTAGATTTATCTGGGTGAATGTTTTTGTTTTCTGAGTGGAACAAAAACCTCTTCCCTTAATGGAGTGGCTGCAGCCAGTCACGTTCATGTACATGGAGTAGGTGGAGGACTGCTGCAATATGCTGACTTTCACAGCCCTGGGTCCTACGGACTCTCCTGGCAGGACCAGACATGGATTTGCACCCAGCTCCACCCAGCTCCTCTCCTACCCAGAGGTGCACATCTCACAGGCATGATGAGTGTTTGGGGTACAGTTGTAAGCTAGAGTCATGGAACAATGCAGTGCCCCTGGGCCAGCAGGACGCTCGAGCTCACTTCCTCATTGGCTTCCGCTTCTCTAATGTCTGGCACATGAGCTCTGGCTTAGAGTGCAGGGAAGGCTGCAAAGGGAAATGACAGAGAAGAGATTGAAAGGTACCTCCTGTTGGGGTATATGAATAACCTGCGAGTCCCAAAGTGTTCTCTGCAAGAATGTGTACTCTGTATGTGCACGTAGGCGACAATTTCAAACAGGAAAGACACCGTGTGGAATATACTTAGGGTGTGTATTCTGTAGTCTCCTTTTCATTCATCCTGCTGATGACCCTGCAGTGACCTAGCTTTGCAATGTGTTTCTTTAGTTAGGTCAGGGGGTTTTGGTCCAGGTTTCCCCCTCCCTGGTGAAACGGCAGAAGACCCACTTTCATGACTTGCCATGTGGTGCCTCAGTAATTCTGGGCAACAACGGCTTCATCTGGATTTACCCAACACCTGAGCACAAAGAAGAGGAAGCAGGGGGCTTCATGGCAAACCTGGAGGTGAGCAAACCCTGGCCGCCGTCGGTGGGAGGAGGAGGCTCGGTCTTGGCTGTGTTTTTGTGCCCACTGGAGTTGCTTGTTTTTTGACTATGTTACTGCTGTAGGCTGAGTCACTTTGACCTTCCATCAAGGTGTATTCATCAACCCGTATGGTCTTTTCTCTTCTAAAGGGATGAACTTAGTGAATGGTTTCAACTTCGTTGGTAGAGATGGCAAAGTTGCAGGGTAATAGCCAAAGAGCCACTGAAGAATTAAAAAAGCCGCTCTGTCCCCCAGGCTGGGGTGCAATGGTATGATCTTGGCTCACTGAAGCCTCTGCCTCCAGGTTCAAGTGATTCTCCTACCTCAGCCTTCTGAGTAGCTGGGATTACAGGCATGTACCACCATGCTTGGCTGATTTTTGTATTTTTAGTAGAGATAGGGTTTCACCATGTTGGTCAGGCTGGTCTCAAACTCCTGACCTTGTGATCTGCCCACCTCGGCCTCCCGAAGTGCTAGGATTACAGGGGTTAGCCACCGCACCCGGTCCCATTCTTTTTAATCTCCCTTGGATTTAGCTGGTTGGTTGGTTTGGAGTTCCAGAGTGATATTGTGTGAGTCATCAATGATTTATTTGTGATTTTCTTTGGCTGGTCACATATTTTGGTCCTGTTTATATTTCCCTTTCCTCCTCCTCTGCATCCCCTTATAGCCTGTCTCTCTTGCTGATCGGGAGGTGATTTCCCGGCTTCGGAACTGCATTGTCTCGCTGGTAACTCAAAGGATGATGCTGTACGATACCAGCATCCTGTACTGCTATGAAGCATCCCTTCCACACCAGGTATTCTCCCCAGGGCTTCTCGCTTCTTCACTGATCTGCGAGCTGCTTTGTTTACTCAGAGACAATCTGCACGTCTCCCCCATACTTTCCCAATATCTGTCAGTACGGACTGGCCTGGAAACAGCCTTAATGAGTGTCTGCTAGATCTTTCCCTGAGACACTTGCAATCTTCTTGATGTCTAGTGTCAATCTAAGGATCTGGTGGGGGATGGGGGTGTCAGGTGGGACTAGTTTATGAGAGCAGCCCTCTGGAGTTGATCTTACTCATCCCAAATTTCAGCCATCCTTTGGATGAATGTAAGAAGAATATTTTTGTTCTTGTCGGCTGTATCTCAGAATCTTGCTGATTTATTAGGCTGCTTCTAGCAGATCGTATCTTGTAACGCTTAGTCTCTGAGACATGAAAGGAATACAGAAGGTTTATGTTAACGGCTTGATTTATGTTTGGATTGGCTTGGTGGTTTGTTTATGGTTGGTTTCTTTTCTGAACAAATGCCTTTTCCTTTTTTCAGATCAAAGACATCTTAAAGCCAGAAATAATGGAGGAGATTGTGATGGAAACACGCCAGAGGCTTTTAGAACAGGAGGGATAAGGAGGTGCTCCAGGAGGACAGGACTGCGGACCTTGCAGGAGTGAAGACGGTGATGTGTGGTCCCCATATGTGGCTCTGCAAAGACTTGAGAGGTCATCACTTTGTCTGCATTGATGGCCCCGTGGCTGCCTCCAGCTCGCAGGCCTGCTTTCTCCTGTCCTGATGCCAAGCCTAGGTGGCAGGTGAACAATGCTCCCTTGGTTTGCTGGCTGAGTCCCAGCATTAGGGGATAGTTTTAGGTCTTCCAAAGTGCACAGTGTTCCAGCCGAATGGACTCCCATCCTGGATAATGTGGAGAATCCTTTGTCTTCCACTCACATCATTCGCAAGGCACAGTGCCCCATAAAATTGCCCCGGTAGAAACATGGCATCCCTGACCCCCAAATGGTCTGTTTTGGTCTCCATTCCTGTATTCTTTAAATGACTGAGAATGCAGCTGGTAAAGTTGGAAGAATAAAGTTAACCAAGCAGGCCAGCCGCAGTGGCTCACGCCCGTAATCCCAACACTTTGGGAGGCTGAGGTGGGCGGATTACCTGAGGTCAGTAGTTTTGAGACCAGCCTGGCCAACATGGTAAAACCCCGTCTCTACTAAAAATCCAAAAAAGCTGCCAGGTGCAGTGGCTCATGCCTATAATCTCAGCACTTTGGGAGGCCAAGGCAGGTGGATCACGAGGTCAGGAGTTAGAGACCAGCCTGGCCAAAATGGTGAAACTCCGTCTCTACTAAAAATACAAAAATTAGCCAGGTGTGGTGGTGGGTAACTGTATTCCCAGCTACTCGGGAGGCTGAGGCAGGAGAATTGCTTGAACCTGGGAGGCAGAGGTTGCAATGAGCTGAGATCGTGCCACTGTACTCCAGCCTGGGCAACAGAGTGAGACTCTGTCTCAAAAAAAAAAAAAAAAAAAAAAAAACAGCAGCCTTTGCTTTATTGGAATCTGATTTTCTGTTGCATATTCCTTCTGGCCATAGATGAAATTATGTCTACACCAGGCTGCCTTAATGTGTCTTGATTGGAGGGTGCCTTGTAAGATGCTGAATTATTCATGATAATAGAGTGAATGTTCTGGGACCACGTACTCTGATAAACATGAAGAAAATAAAATAAGAAAAATGGAGACTGGAAAAGGAAAGCTGTTTTCCTCCTATAATTGAAGTAGTGGTGCATTAATTTGTGGATAATTCAGGGTTAAAAAATAAGAAGACGGAAGTTCTACTGAAGAATGTGAGAATTCCTGTCCTTTGTTTTTTTTCTGGTGACTATCTAAAAATGGTGCCCTGATTTAGGCTTAGGGGAACTTTTTTTTTTTTTTTTTTTTTGTGAGACGGAGTCTTCCTCTGTCGCCCAGGCTGGAGTACAGTGGTGGGATCTCGGCTCACTGCAGCCTTGGCCTCCAGGGTTCCAGCAATTCTCCTGCCTCAGCCTCCCGTGCAGCTGGGGTTACAGGTGCACGCCACCACACTTGGCTAATTTTTGTATTTTTAGTAGAGGCAGGGTTTACCATGTTGGTCAGGCTGGTCTCAAATTCCTGACGTCATGAATTGCCCACCTCAGCCTCCCAAAGTGCTGGGATTACAGGCGTGAGCCACCTCGCCCAGCCTGGGGGAACATTTTTTAAAAGGGTGCTATGCGCCTGTAATCCCAGCGTTTTGGGAAACGGAGGTGGGCAAATTGCCTGAGGTCAGGAGTTAAAGACCAGCCTGGCCAACACGGTGAAAACCCATCTCTACTAAAAATACAAAAAAATTAAGCAGGTATGGTGGCAGGCACCAGTAATCCCAGCTACTCAGGAAGGTAAGGCAGAGAATTCTTTGAACCCAGGAGGCGGAGGTTGCAGTGAGCCAAGATTGCACCACACCACTGCACTCTGGCCTGGGCAACGGAGCAAGAATCCGTCTCGAAGAAAAAAAAAAAAAAAAAAAAAAAAAACCCCACAAAAACCAACTCAGCTCTTGGTATGTTTTTTAAATAACAACACAATGAACAACTTCTTATCTCACTTACTTTTTCTGAGACAGGGTCTCACTCTGTCACCCAGGCTGGAGTGCAATGGCACGATCTCGGCTCACCGCAACCTCCTCCTCCTGGGTTCAGGCAATTCTCCTGCCTCAGCCTCCTGAGTAGCTGGGACTACAGGCATATGCCACCATGCCCAGCTAATGTTTTGTATTTTAGTAGAGACATGGTTTCACCATAGCCAGGATGGTCTCGATCTCTTGACCTCATGATCCACCCGCCTCAGCCTCCCACAGTGCTGGGATTACAGGTGTGAGCCACCATGCCCGGCACCTGACTTTTTTTTTTTTTTTTTCCAGGCAGAGTCTTGCTCTGTCATCCAGGCTGGACTATAGTGGTATAGTTACGGCTCACCTTCCTGGGCTCAAGCAGCCCTCCAGCTTCAGCCTCCTGAGTAGCTGGGACTACAGGTGCTGAGCCACCACATGCAGCTAATTGTGTTGTGTTGTGTTTTGGTAGAGATGAAGTCTGACTGTGTTGCCCAGGCTGGTCTTGAACTCCTGAGCTCACGCAACCTTTTTGGGGAATTTGCAGACAATTGAATATTCTGTAGGCCGTGCTGCAGCTTTAGATGGATTGGCCTGTCATGTGTTTGAGAAGGTTAGCCAGGCTCCATACCTCTGGAGAGAAGGGAGTGGCAAAGAGTGGAAGTCTGAGTCAAGTTTGTTTTTTTTGTTTGTTTGTTTGTTTTGTTTTGTTTTTAAGAGACGGGGTAAAAAAAAAAAAAAAGAGGGTTTCTTCTCATGACCAAAAAAAAAAAAAAAAAAAAAAAAAAAAAAAACTCTCTAAAAAAAAAAAAAAAAAAAAAAAAAAAACAGCAGCCT